GAAAAGGAAAACCTCTTTTTTTTATTCCACCAGGTAAGAAGTTTAGCACAATTTAACCTTCTTCACTTATCAAGTTAAAAACAAAATGTGATAACTGCTCTAATTTATTTTCTTAGATATGTAAGGAAGGCAAATAATACAATTAAGCTTTACTTCAAATATTTTGTATGTTTTCACTATATATAATTAAATAGCTTAATTTTAATTTACACACAGGGACAATTGATCTACAAAAATTAGTATGTGTAAGAAAAACTCTTTGTAAACTTAGAGGAATCATTTGTTTTCTGTTTGAATTACATTTTGATAAAAAAATTACTATGTCTAACCTCAAGAAAGAAGTTAGACATTCTAAATTTAATTATCCTAAACATGGATAAGACACTACAATTAGAAATTATGTATTTATAATATTCTGTGTCCCAAACCCAAGAGAGTTTAAGCACTCCTGATTCTTTCTAGGATTTGCCCATCTAGACCAGGTAATAACATAACCTTCATTATGCTTTGGGAGATTCACTGAATTTAATTAATTAGCTGTGCTTTTTAAAGCTTAACCTACATTTGTACAAGTAGTTCTTTAATTAAACAAGAAAAGCATATCATCTTCTAGAGACAGATGAATGCTGCAGTTCTTTAAAACGTCCTGTCAATAGATTACATCACTAGAATACTAACTTTCCCCAAATGGAAACAATTCATCTCTTTAAAATAGAAAATAACATTTTAATTTCTGAAATTAGTAACTGCTTATCAGGGACTTGGCTACTAATTTTTAAAATATACTAAAGCAACTACACATATCCATGAATGTTTGTTTTCTGGGGACCTGTATGAAAATGAAAACGTACATGATGTATTTCTACCGACAAATCTTTATCCTGCATTTTATTTCATTTGACATCAATAAATAAATTTACAAACCAAAATATCAGAGTAAATAAATATTACTATACAAATTTGGCCAGGTCAAACTGAAGAAGGACAATAAAAGAGGCTTAGAATAAATATTCTATATTCTTCTTCCAATAAAATTTCTTTTCTGTCTCTTGAAATCTAGTCATGAAGATAAACAGGAGTATACCAAAGTCTGTAAGCAGTCACTCTAGAGCTTGATGAGTTTCAAATACAACTGATGCCAAGACCAGGTAGCACAGGCAGCGTGTGTACATATGTATTACGTATTTATATTTGTTTATGTCTGTGTGTGTGTGTATATATACATATATATGTATACACACACATATATATGAAAATTAATGTACCACCTACGTATGTTGGCCTTTCCCCTATAAGCATGGGTACACACAGGATCTACAGTCATTAATTAGCTCCAATTCTGACAGGAAGGTCTCCCTCCCATGAGTATGGCTTTTGCCCAAGTACCTCTGGTGTGACTTGGGGTTTATGAAAGGAAGATGGTGGGCTGCGTGCCATTTTGCTTGGATTTTTTTTGTGTGAGATATAAATCACATACCATAATATTCATTTTTCTTAAACGTACGATTCAGTGGTATACTCACCAAGTTGTGCAACCATCACCACTATCTAATTCCAGAACATTTTCATTGAGTTTAGGGTTCTAAAATTTAAATTTATACTAACACCATTTCATCTCTTTGTGGTTGAGATATAAGTGTTAGATACAGTTGAGTATGATGACATAACCTGAGAATGTAGATATTTGCGTATGTCGTAAAAATAGACAGAAAACAAATGTTTAGATAGATATAGCAAGAATATGACTGCTGAAAGCTACCTCTGCATTGTTGGATTTTAACTCCACATCTGGCTTCCCTACAATAGCCCTTTTTTATGCCACCATTCCAAAGAGAAATAGCATCAAACTGAAAGATCTCGGGCCGGCCCTGTGGCTTGGTGGTT